GTGACAAAATATGCATGCGTTATTGGTCACCTTGACTTCTCTTACCTCATTAGGAGGTTGCAAATTTTTCAACATATTAGTTATGGCAGAAAGCTGAGCAGCTACCGAATCCTTACCCTCTAATTCATATGCTCCATATGTTTTTCTGCTGGTTCCTAATCTTGTATTTGGGAATTGATAATCATTATTTGCTATCCTGTCGAGGATATCAAAGGCTTCCTCGGGTGATTTGTCAAGTCAGATGCCATTTGTTGAGGCATCTAACATCATTCGAGTAGGTGCATTAACTTCGTTATAAAACATCACTACTTGAGTCCAGTCATGAAATCCATGGTTGACACATTTGCGAAGTAGACTTTTATACCTATCCCAACATTCGTACATTGATTCATCATCTCCTTGGTGAAAACTTGCAATGTCATTGCGAAGCTGTGTATTCATATTGGGTGGATTATATCGAAGTAGGAAACTTTTGCATAAATCTGCCCATGACTCCATCGAGCCTGAATGAACTCTACTAAGCCAAGCTCTTACTCTATCGCGTAGGGAATAAGGGAAAAGTTTTAGTTTAAGCACATCTTCATGCACTCCTTGTTGTCGAAATGAGTCGCATACTTCAAGGAAAACACGAATATGTTTTTTAGCATCCTCATTGGGTGAACCACCAAATTGGCCGATAGAATTTAGCATATTAAACATCACCGGTTAAGCTCAAAATGAGTTGCTTGTATCTCAGGTGCCACTATGCCTGGATTGAGGTCATCGAGAATTGGGTTCAAATGATCTCGTATCGCTCTTGGTCTTGCAACTTGAAGATTAATTATTGCATCTGGATCGTTGTGATCTCCCATGTTGTTGCCTTGTAATTGTAGTTGGTTTAAATGTTCTTTGGTTCTTTGGTCACGTAGCCTCTATCTAAACGATTGTTCAACTTCAGGTCAAATGGTTCCAATGGTTTACCAGCAGATCTCATGGTCTTGCAATAAAACCATACAAAAGAAAATAATAAACTACGTTAGACTAGATAAATATAAGGTGACAAGAAAAACTTGTTATGGCGAATAAAAATTTCGTCAGTTGCCAATCCCTGATAACGGCGCCTAAAACTTGATCGCTTGTAAATGTATATGCTAAGGCAAGGAAATATGTGCAAGTATACACAATCGAATCAAGTAATATAGGGTAAGTGAGTTATCGTCTCTTCAGGGATTGGTCTACGATTTTAACCTTCATCACAATTAGAACTAGTTGTCACAAGCTAATTCCTATTATCTTGTCAATCTAACTAATATTAAGAAAACAACAAAATAATATAATGTATGATTACAGAAAAGTTTGGTCGAGACAAAATAAATATGCAGACTATAAAACAAAACAAAGCAAAAACAAATGTTGATTTAAGTATAATTCAAACAAGCTCACATATTCAGACTTACCACAGAGCACTTATGCTAATATTTTGCATTGACAACAATTATTCTAAGTCTAGAATGAATTATTATGACTTACTTAAACTGCCCGACAGGATTACTAAGTATTCTTAGACGGTTGCTATGGCAATACTACTCAGCATTAACTACAACCCTTGGTTTGTCAGGCTGTTGTTGTAGCAATATCTCTCAGCGTAAACTATAGTCGTTGTCTATCCTACTCTAGCGTCTATCCCTTTTAGTCGATTGAAACTCGCTCCTTATCTCGATGGTAGACAAGTTAGAACATCACCATCCCGGATCCATTCCATTGTTCACGTAGATCTATCTTAATTCTCTCGAATATAAGAATCACTATCTAGACAAAATGCGATCTCTCGATGCTCTTACATTGCCAAGACATGTTTTACCAAAGCCCCAAGCAATCTCTCGATGCTCTTATAGTGTCAAGGTAAAATATTCAAACAATGAACAAAACAGTCATGAACAAAATCATAATTCATCATTCATAAAGCATAAAATAATTGCCTAGGCAAAACAAAGATTAACACCAAGTAAGACAGTCATAGTGCTATCAAAAAGTCATCAGAGTATCATCGTTTAATACAACCCCAAACATGTAAAGAATTCAAGAACAAAGGAAGAACGACTCCCAAAACCAGGGTCTCTGTCGTGATAATTCTGATCAGCACCGCGCTTGCCTTGGTGATCAGCCTCTCTCGAGACCTGACCACCGCTATGCTACAGTCTGGCTATGAGGACACCAAGGAAGGTTGGTTGGTAAACGGTGGGAAAACACTGTAGTTGCTCACTCACACTTTCAGCAAAGCTTTTCTCTCTTCTTCATTGCCTCTCTTTGGTGGCTACGGTTGAATATTTATAGAGATGAATCTCCTAGGGTTTCGCATGATTGGAGATTCCTTAAATAACCGTTATTATTCGTCCAGACTAAAAAAGGAAAGACGGCTGGCGGCTAGCAGAATCTTTAGGGCTTGCTTGCACGTGAAGGAGGTCATCTAGCTGGCATATGACATAGGCGATTTCGTCATATCCGCTTCAAACTTTTCAGATAAACCTTGTCTTGGTGAGATAAATCTGCTCCTCACGTTCTTCTCTGTTCCATTGGCCCTTGCAATTTACGTTGTCGCAACTGAAATATTCTTCCTCTGTAAGTTTCCTGCACATACATAATCCACGCAAACCCTTTCTCCTCAGCAGCATCAGTTAAACAAAATAAATCTTGCCGAATCAAAACTTATCCACCACAAGCAAATATAACCTAAATGCAACTAAATACTAAAATGCTATGCATACTTTGTTTAGACGAGCAATAACTTAAGTAAAAAGACTAGAAATGAGTCTTTTTACGGAGTTATCAGATATCAAGCTGTTTACCACTTGAACTAACCCCGTTGGTACATGGACAATACTTTAGGTATATGGATATTATCTTTATTCCAAATTTTTAAATTTTGTTTACATTCCAATTCAATCCTATAAATCTAAAAATATTTTTGAGTTAGGAGGACATAACTATAAATGCATTAAAATTGAAAGGATTGAATTATACAATTTGATAACAACATAGGATAAAATTACTAAAAACATAGGAACGTGACAGCCATCGCAACTAACACAGTTTCAATCGATTTACGAGTTTTCTTTTTTAATTATCACGTTATTATTTAACCAATCAATAGCCTTTTTTCTCTTATCTGAAAAGTCGCCGGCTTTTTCACCGGGAGTTTTTCATCTCATTACAGAGCTCTCTTCTTCTGACATAGTTTGACTGAACTTGCAATGAACAAGAATTTGCTCTTAATTTCCTTTTTTTTTTTTTTTTGCATCGAAAATTGTTACCCTTTGAGCTTTAGAAGAATATCAGAATGGGCTCTGCTGGATCGACACCGGCTGAAGGAGACGGTGAGAGTTCTTCATTTTGATCCTTTTTTCGTTTCCTTTTAATTTGTGTTTATACTGTTTGGGTTCTGAGAAAATGGTTGGGAAAATTGGAAGCTTAAGGAACAATTGCAGCATCTTTGAATTGCTTGAGCTCAAGAAAACTTTGAGCTAAAATAATCAAGTGGTGGACTGATTAGTATAAGTTTGTTCCTGAACGCCTTTATCAATATGGTTTGAGCTCCCAGTACGTTATCTTCAAAAGGACACTTCTGCTCCGCAACGGCCTAATTTAAAGTTAATTTACAGATTTTAACCAAAAATATTATTACGTCCAATTTAAAAAATAAACAATTGGTAATAGTTTTGACTATAATCGAAGATGTTAATTTGCAATGAGTTTTAAACAGAAATGCTACTTGGCTACTCAAGTTACACAGTTGAGAATAGTTTTGATTATAACTTAGAATGTTACGTTACACCGGATTTTAACTTAAAATATTATTTGTCTATTACAAAAAATTATACAATTGGTAATAATTATAATTACAACCGATTATTTTCTTGACGGCAACTTTTAAGTTGTAATCGAAATAGTTATGCAACTTACACGATTTGTTATGGAAAACATAATATTTTTATTTTTAACCTAAAATATTACTCGGTTTATTCTAAAAAATTACGCTTTTCGATTTGGCTACAATTAATTTCTGCTTTTTTTTAACCTTTATATTAATCAGTTTGCAATAAACATAATGTATGAACTCAAGCTTTTCAATTTGCATTCAAAGTTTACATGTAGTTAATCATATTGGAAACGTTTTGGCTCCAAAAGGGAAATGTGAAGATCCGAAAGCCAAAACCATGGAAACATAGTCGGCCGATATAGAAGTCTTTAACTGGTGCAGATGCGTGAAGAGTTTTGGGACACTGCACCTCATTACGGTGGCCGGAAAGTTTTCTACCCTATAACCTCTAATGAACATCTTTGCGTATAGATGATCTCAATTTTTGTGAATGAGAAGATGGGTTGTTTATCTTTATTTGACCATATAATGAAAGTTTTCTTTCCCTCGTGAGCTGAAAAACTGAGTGGATAATCTGATAATGGCAACTAACCCACCAACACAATAACAAGATTACCATTTTGGAAGCTTTCCGCACAATTCCATTGAGTTCAATTTACCTTTCATGATAATCCATGGAAATGTATGTACGCATACATTGATGTCTGTTAAAGCAACTTTCATTACGGCAAAGCGCATATAGAAAAGCCAAAAAGCAATTCACACTTGATGCCAATGATCAAACCTTTTTGAAGAAAGATAGAATATTTCCTTGCTTAGAATCCTTCGCATTTCCAGCTTTCTTGGTTTTGGCTGCAGCAGGCCTGCGTCAAGGATTCAAACAGTTAGATTGCACCGACTATCAAATAACTGGAACAAAGATTTGGCCTCAGTTCATGCAAGCATTCTAATTGACAGGATAGCTTAGAACCCTGCCAATATTTCAAATTCTAGAACTAGCAAAATCAGACAAGATACAGTACAAGCACCATATACAGTTCATGCATTTTAGTAACAAGATATATGATTCCTTCACCCCTCTTCATGCTAAAAGACAAAAAACAAACTAGCAGGAAAAATAAAGAGAAACAAGCTTTACCTCCTATTGGTATTTGTGAAAGCATTGGTTGTTCCATTTCCAGCTTTCTTTGGCATGTCACTTTCAGCTTTCTTCACCTCCATCTCCTCGCCTTCCCAAACTACCTCAGTAACTAATAATAACTTGAATGCAAAATGATATGAGAAGATATTAATTTAGCAAGAATACTGTTCGCTCCAATTCAGTGCACTTAAGGGGGAAAAGTGGATAAATATGTGCATTTACGGAGAACACAGAAGATAAATATGCACCAACACCATTTTTCATATTTCTCATAGCAAGTAAGATGTACAAAACTGTGCAAGTAAAATTTTACAGTGATTACGTTTAATTTTGGCATATCCATTAGAAAAATTAATTGCATTAGCAAAATCATAGGCAATGAAGGAACTTCAGAAGAATATACCCTGGATGAACAAATGTAGCATGATAATGAAAGTGATAAAATGAATAAACAAAAAGTCAAGATCAAACACTTTTTCAACATTTGAAATCCCCTTTGACATAAGACAGCAGGCAATGAAATTTTCTAAATGGATTCACTAACAGAAAAAAAATAACAGCAATCCTGGAGAGATGCTAGGGATTGAATTTACCTTCTCTTCCACGGTCATCAATACTTGTCTTCAACACTTTCCTCCTTTTAGGTGAATTTGATGCACCATCAGTCACTTATTCCTTCTTATTTATATCAGTTTCAGGAAGGTGGCTTTCAAGCTTAACTTAAGAGGAATTCTTACCATTTGCACTTTTGCTGACAAGTGAAATTCCTTCCCCCAATGATCTATTGGATTCTCCATTCGTAGTTCTCTCTTCCTTAACCTTTACTTCGTCTTTGTTTGACTTATCTACAACCAAAATGAGCTTCTCTGGAGCCAATGTTTTAGAATTTTGTACTGAATCTAAAAACGATTTCCTTTTAGGGGGATCAGGTGAAGCTAGATTGACAGCATCTTCATACTCATCTTCATCTGAGAAATAAAAAACTACCCTCCGTTTCCTATTGCCTTCATTGTTAGAAGTTTTCCTAACTTTAACTTCTTGAGCATCAATGTCACTGCACTCGTGTTTTTCCGCTTCACGTGCACAAACTTGTGCATCTGCAGTAACAAATAATTCAAAAAGAAATTACATAAACGAGAAAAGTAGCTATAAATATAAAAATCCTGTAGTAGAAAAGAAAATTTTAAATAGCACCACTAAAGTAATTCAAGCTCTAGACTGTGGAATAAAAGTTTGTTTTATAGTTTATAAAATGCACTTAAAAATTCAAATATAAATGAAACTCCACCAATAGAACAAATGGAAACTGACCATTGGAATTTTGGATGGAACCACTATTATCTGCTGGCACGGTACAGGTCTTTGGTTTAGTAGACGCTCGATCCCAGAAATTTGCTAATGAACCTCCATTTCCAGCAGAGCCTTTATCGTTCTGGCCTTTCTTTCTATTAGAAGGCAAGGAAGCATTTTTTTCTTTATCAGAAGAAGGCTTGGTGGCCAGATCATGGACTCCACCGATATTGTCGCTTTTGGTATCTTTAATCACAATGGGAGGTTGCTGAGAAATCTTGGAGCTTGATTGCCGAATTTTATTTTGTTGAGATGGTAAAGCTGCATTGGTATGAGCAGAAGCATGTTTGGACAGTCCTGAGATTCCCACACTATTTGGCTGTGCAGTCGCAACCCTTGCAGTAGTTCTATCAACATTGCACTTGACAAGTGAAGTTGAAATCCCACAGAATCTGAAGAAAACATATAAGGAAAAAAGATATAGATTACAGATCAAAATGTTTATGTGATCAAGGAACTGACATGTGAAATCCTGCCAAGACTTGATGATTAAAATGAGCTAAACTCTTGAACTCGCACAATCACTCCTATCACCCCGAACCAAGGACATTGCTTTTTATTTCTAGCTACAACCCTTCTATGAACTGCCATTGAAAAAAGAATAGCTGGAAAGTAACATGCTAGTTAAATCTACTTCATTAAATGTATAGACAAGCAACTAAAATATCTCAATGGTATGTACAAGGACCAGCAATGAGTAATTAACATGAAGGAATCACCACAACATGAAATTTTCTCTCCCCTTGCTGTAATGATCAGTTACAGAAGTAGGGTACCTGTTATCTCTCAAGCAATTATCCACTGTGGCAGGCTGCTTGAAGAGCTCCTCAGCCTGTATAAATTCAGCATTCCAAAGTGCAGGTGGGTCCTTTGGGATGCAAGCTTGCACACTATACACATGAACTCTGCAATTGCCCTCATATTCTTGCTTGGCTTCTGCAAGAAATAAAGGAGAAAAAGAATTGCCATTAATACCTTTTATCTAATTTTGGTAGCCAAACAACATAAATATTATTATGATATTATTATGGAGATCCATAAGTGAATGAAATGCTATCTACTTTGCCTATGACTACCCTATTATAAAGATAGGTCATCTATTCCAAGAATGGTCATGCAGCTTGTACACAAGCATGATATAAAGCCATACACTCCCTTAACTGTATACATATTAGAATAAGTGAAACAAGATGAAATTGCCGTGGCAAGTCTAACCTGAAAGTTTAGGCTGTGTCACAAGCTGAATATGATAGTTTGATAGAGAGTTCTTCAACCAGCCAGACAAACTATATACAACTTCTAACCCACTTCCATGTTTCTCAACAAACATGGCAAGCAATCTAAGTACGAGCACAACTATTTATTATTCACAAAACATTACCTTTACATAAGTCTATGATGTACACGGCTACATATGTGCATGAAGACTCTAACAACATCCTCAGTGGGGAAAATTTACCGCTTCACGACATTGGATGAGACCAGAAAGCTATGACTCAACCACTTGTAGGAGACCCGAAAGGATATTTCATTTTTGAACCAAATGAAAAAAAAGAAGGAAATTATCTAAACTCTCAGTTAATAAAGGAATTTCTAGCCTACAAACAAAAGGAAAGTAATTTCATAGACCCCGATATTATAAATCTCCTCTAAAGACAATTTTCTACTACGTATAAAAATCAAGAAGACAAGAAGGCACCGGTTGGTCCTAATCCTAAATATTTTTATCAAATTTTCATTCAACCTGCAAACAATGAATCATCTCTACCAAAAACTTCATACTCCACAATTCCACCTCGAAACAGAAATTTTATCTTACAAAATCATTATCTTGCAGTGAAAATGCATAAACAAACACTTTAAAGCAGAGCGTAATTCAGTTGATTTCACTTTCAAAACCTACCAGCTTCTTTTCAATTACCTGTGTACATATATATATATATATAAACAAGAAGAACGGAAGAGGAACAAATTTTCTGCAAGTTCCCTGAGTAATAAAAAGAGGCTCCATTTTAACCCGACTCAGAAATTAATTTATACAATAAATTAGTGAAAAGTAAGATAAGGGAGAAAACACAAGAATTTATGACCACGAGAGGGAAAAATCAAAATTTACAACAGAAAAAAGTGGAAATGTTAACAAGAACCGGAAAAAATAGAAGAATTAAGTGAATATGAAGGTAAATCCAAATAAAATCAAACAAAAGAGAACTTACTATTTGGAGTTTATCGAAGACGGGAGCTTGGATCTCGTAGAGAACAGCTAGGGTTTAAAGTTGGGACATTTTTTTAATTCTGAGGAAGGTTGTGAAATCAGATTTTTTGGCGCTGATTTTCCCGCCATTCCTTTGAGTGCCGGGAAACTAGATGGGAGAAGGAAAGAGTTATTATTATAATGCATATAATAAAAAAAGAACATGGTAAACTATTTGTTCTATATCTAAAACATCATGTTTAGTTGGTTTTATAATCTAAACTTTTATTTTTTTTATAATCATATTTAACGTTTAATTTTTGTTTTATTTTAATAATCTCCATTAAAATCTTAACATGTTTAATACCTAAATTATCATATTTAGTACCTAAACTTTTAATTTTGTTTCAAATTTTAACATTAAGTTTTTTAACGTGTACTAAAATAAAACAAAAATTAAACTTTAGGTTTGATTTTTTAAAAAAATGAAAATTTATTTACTAAAATGGACTTAAAAACACATAATTTACCCAAAGAATATTATGCATACTAAATCTTAATTTATTTATTTTTTATAAAAAACTATTAAAAATAAATATTCAGAATTACAATTAAGAGCATATGTAAACTAAATTATAATTAGAACATTTTCATTAATTATTGACACAAAAATTAGTCACCTAGATCACACAAGGGCCAAAGGAAAAGATTAAAAAATCTAACCAAAATGCTCGAACATAATAAAGATACGATCAAATCTGACTGCATCGTCAAACGAACCATAAAAAGGGATGGAGCTATTAAAAAACCACCGACAAATCTCAAATCATAATCAAGCGATGTGAGAAAACTATCCACGAGCGCAAACCGCGTATTCAAATCAATTCAAGGGTCCAAAGCAGGGAGGATCAACATGATAACAAACAAGCACCACCTTGATCAGTCGTGGCGATGTGAAATCGATCCCTGAGAAAAACAAATAAATGAAAACAATGACCAAAAAAATGAAAACTACCAAAAGACAGAAAAAAATATGTCACAAAGACAGAGATGAACTGTAACACCCTAGAATTTCATTAAGGACTAAATTGGTAAATAAAATTATTTCGAAGACAAGTTAGACAATTTCTATGTGTTGTGGGGGTTAAATGTGAAGTATGAGATGAAGAATTTATTTTGGGGAGATTAGTGACTGGATTGAAATAAAAGAATTACACATCTCTAAGGTGAAAACAAGAGAAGCGTTCGACTCTTTAATGAATTATTATCCCTAAAATTTATAAGATATTTTTCTTGGGTGAATATGTACCATTAGATTAAATGGAGTTTTCCATATTCAATTTAGACACTTGGATCTAAATGAAATGTGTGGTTGTTATTTATTAAAAATAAGTTTATTTGTAAATAAAGAGTTTGAGAAAAGATGAAAAGAATTATTCATCTTCTTTTCCTTCAAGCTAACGGGTGATAGAAAAGACAAGGTAAGGTCTCTCTCTTTTCTTCATTTCCTCCTTTTCCAGCTAGATTTGAGGATTGTTTGTCATAGACTAAAATATTTATCTCTTCATTCCCTTTAAGATGAGTCTAAAAGGGAAGGTGAAGGTAAGTGTTGAAGGCATGAATGAGCTCCATCTTGGGATTCTAGCAACGAGGTAGGGTGTTCTAATCCTTAGTGTTGCTATGACTCTATTAAGCATGACGATTTGTTGGGGTTTGAATAATTAAGAATGTTGGGGTTTTTTCTTGATTCATGGCTTAGAAGGTGTTCTTGGTTGTCAAGATAGTGCTTCTATGGCGCCATGTGATCCTAAGAGACTTTGAATACGAATTGAGCCCTGATAGTTTTGTATGAGCGGTTTAATCCTAATAAGTTAGTAATTTGATGCTAATAAATTATCTTAATATCAAGAGTAATTAATTGGTGCCATGTTTGACTTCTAGAGCGCACATGTTCATGGAAAATGGCTAAAGGCTCAGACTAAGTTAGTAAGCTCGAATTTAGGAAATTTAGGTGAGTATTCCTTGGACTCCGAATTATTTCATGATTTTTGTAAGTTCAATGACTTGATTGTCATGTGTAAACACTCGATTCAATGTTTGGGTAGAAATTCTTAAGAGCCTTCTTTTGATGATAAATTGATTGGTGGAACTATTAAGAGCATGCTTAGTTTTCCTTTTTTATATGATAATTTCACTAGTGCAATTAAGTGTTGGATACTAGATTTTAGGTTACAAGCCAAATTTTTGGGTTGCAAACCTGTTTTTAGGTTAGAAACCTATTTTTAAAGGTAAAAATATATGTTATGACTTTCGCTATGTAAATCGGGGGCATCTCTTAATGATCAAAACATAGTGGTTTAATGAGCTAACAAATGTATTATGAACTTTATAAATGATTAAACGTATATTCCTATCATGCATAAATGATTGTCATGTTACATGATTTGATGCACGATGTTAGGGAGGCTTGAGGTAAGCTATCTTGTTTATTCCTATTGATGGTTGATTATACAGTGGTAAGTACATTGCATGCATCTTGATACTATTATTGCCCAAGTAAACAAGTTAGATGTCGTTCGTACAATGGAATGCCTAGGGTCGAGCAACCACGTCTTGGTCTCTCGAGATTGTTCACCTTAGTGGAGCAACTTCATGATGATATTGACACTTCGGCGTATTTGGACCTATAGGTTTGTCTACCATAACGGAAAGATTTCGCATTGGTATGAAACTTTGGCACGCGTTACCTATATAGACCCCTATTAGAGTTTACTTCGGGCGTCCTTATAATATTTCATTACAATATATAAATATTGATGTTTCTATGCATGATATACATGTGTTGGTTACTGATGATTATAAGCAGGATATACATGTGCTTGCTACTGATTATTGTGAGAATGATATACATGTACTTGTTATTGTTATTTATATGCATGATATACATGTTCTTTCTAATGATGATAATATACATGATGTACATGCGTTTACTACTGATGATAATATGCATGATACACATGTGCTCGTTATTGATTATTATAAGCATAATATACATATATTGATTACTGATGATTATATGCACGATCTTTTACCTGTGTCGATGATAGGATTAAATATGTTAATTTGGATAAGGCAATTTTCAAATAAACCATTAATGATGAGACTATTATGATGGGACCACTTTAATGAATCACAAGAATATCCTAAATTAGATAATTATATTGCTTACTACATAATGAACTTAGAGTTATTAAGATCATGAATATGATAGAATGTGTAAGGTAATCTGACGAGAAAAGACATGATATCCTCTAGACTTTGGGTAACTATAATGAACCCGACTAATAATAATAAGACTATGAGAATCATTGAATAATTGCATAAGATCATAAATGGCTATTATGCTTAATTTATGAGACTTGTGAAATATAGTAGGGTCAATGTGTACTCAATGGGCTTAATAGCTCACTTTTTTTAATTATTACCTTTACATGTTTAAGTTTTGGGGGCCGTGTTGGGACAATAATGTTATAAGAGGAGTCTCAGCAGGAGTATCATAGTACAACGATGAAGACTTTGAGTAGGCATGTAGAGATTATAAATTTATTCGAGTAGGTTGTAAAATGTTTATTACATATATTGGTTTTCAAATAAAGGAGCCCTGCCCTTTCTAAACTTTTATTTTTTTATATAATGACAATATTGTTTTTTTACTCTTTAAATAAATTGTGATTTTCTGAGTCTAACTTGTAGGATCACTTTGGTGATCCAATGTGACATCGTCGGCTAGGATTTGGTTTTTTGATTAGGTTATGGTTGTTACATTTAGTGGTATCACAACTAGAGTTTAGTCGATTCTAGGTTAGCATGGTCATTTCCTACATGCCCTCAAAGGTTTCAAAGTGTACTCGTATATTGAGACTTTGGTGTCGTTCAACCATCAATGATCGGTAAGTTAATATGTTAGCTTGGTTTAATCTGATAACATTTTTAAGATGATGAAATTAAAAGTATGATTCTTAATGAGTGTAGTATATCTGACATCAAAATATGTGTCGAAAGGTTCAGGTGATAAACATATCCCTGTCCATAGAATAAGCTATGAAAACTTTCCCAAGTCAGTGAATAATCTTGCTAAGTCAAAAAACGGTGAAAATGATATC